TCCGGGCAGCCAGGGCTCGGTGTCCTCCTGCTCCGCCGCCTCGTCCTTGAAGAGCCACCCCGAGTGCGCCAGGGGCAGCTGCACCGGCTTGTTCCGGATGTCGTTCTTCAGCCCCGGGTCATCCAGGAACTGCGGGGACAGCGCGGGGGACGCTTGGTGACACCCAGGGGACGCTTGGTGACACCCAGGGGACACTCAGCACCACCCAGGGGATACTCGGTGCCACCCAGGGGACGCTTGGTGACACCCAGGAGACACTCAGCACCACTCAGGGGATACTCGGTGCCACCCAGGGGATACTCGGTGCCACCCAGGGGACACTCAGCAGCATCCAGGGGACACTCATACCGCCCACATGGCACAGGGGACACTCAGTACTGCCCCAGTGGCACACAGGACACTCAGCACCACCGAGATGACACAGGGGACACTCAGCACTGCCCCAGTGGCACACAGGACACTCACACCACCCAGGGGACACTCACACCACCCAGGGGACACTCAGTGCCACCCAGGGGACACTCAGCACTGCCCCAGATGGCACACAGGACACTCACACCACCCAGATGGCACAAGGGACATTCAGCACCACCCAGGGGACACTCAGACCACCCAAATGGCACAGGGAACACTCAGCACCACCCAGGTGGCACAGGGGACACTCAGCAGTGCCATGGGGACACTCACACCACCCAGATGGCACAGGGGACACTCAGCACCACCCAGGTGGCACAGGGGACACTCAGCACCCAGGGGACAGTCACACCACCCAGGTGGCACAGGGGACACTCGGTGCCACCCAGGGGACACTCACACCACCCAGGTGCCCCCAAAGCCACCCCACCAGTGCCCACTGACATCGTCCTTCTGCAGCATCCTCAGGATCTGCTTCGTCTCCTCGTCCGTCTCCCGTTTCTCCTTYTTGATGTTGATGATGTGGGAAGGGCCGAAGTCGGACACGTCCACTGTCTTGTCCCAGGAGCCCGCTTGGGGACAGAGGAACAGCCCGGGGTCACCCCAAACCTGGGACACCCCCAGACACCCCCAAAAACAAGGAGGGAAGCTCCCTTTTTACCTTTTTTCTTCATCATTTCAGCCGGGCCCTGCTCGAAGATGGAGTGGGACTGGATGACCTCGGGCCGGCCCCTGCCCCGGCCCTGCCCATCCCGCTGCCGTTCCCGCTCCTTCTTCTCCTTCTTGACCGACACATCCTCACGGGGCCTGCGGGGCAGGGCATCACATCACCCCCAAAACCCCTCAGAGCCACCCCAAAACCCTGCCACGATGTGGGGGTTTCTGGAAAGGGACTGCTGGACATCACCCAGAGATGTTTGCGTGGGTATTTGTGGTATTTCTACGGATATTGGAGATATTTCTATGGATATTTGGAGATAATTCTAAGGGTATTTGTGATATTTCTATGGATATTGGAGATATTTCTAAGGGTATTTGTGATATTTCTATGGATATTGGAGATATTTCTAAGGGTATTTGGGATTTTTCTATCAGTATTTGTGATATTTATATGGATATTGGAGATATTTCTATGGATATTTGGGATATTTCTATAGGTATTTGACACATTTCTATGGATATTGGAGATATTTCTAAGGATTTTTGGAGATATTACTAAAGGTATCTGGGATTTTTCTGTGCATACTTGACACATTTATATGGCCATTGGAGGTATTTCTAAGGATATTTGGGATAATTCTATGGATATTACTTGGGATAATTTCTATGGGTATTTAAGACATTTCTATGGATATTTGGGATTTTTCTATGGGTATTTAAGGCATTTCTATGGATATTTGGGATTTTTCTATGGATATTTGAGACATTTCTATGGACATTTGGGATATGTCCATATCATACAAAATTCCATGGGTATTTGGGATATTTCTATGGGAATTTGGGATATTTCTGTGGGTATTTGAGACATTTCTATGGATATTTGGGATATTTCCATACCATACAAAATTCTGTGGGTATTTGGGATATTTCTAAGGCTATTTGGGACATTTGTGATATTTCTATATCAATTTCTCTCACTCCTCCCTTCTCCGAACACCCAGGCCCACCTCTCACAGCATCTCCTCCTCGGGGAGATGCTCCAGACCCCAAATCATCCCCGTGCCCCCCTTTTTGACCCCCACACAGGGCCAGCAAATCCACCCCTGCCCCCTCCAGAAACAATCCCAAAGCCACTCACTCCTCCTTGACCTTCCTGACGATGATGTTGGGGGTGAAGGTTTTCTGCGGGCAAGAGCAGAGGGTCAAAATCCCACCCCAAAACCCCCCAAAAAGCCTCGCTGGGGTCTCTCATCACCCCCAAAGCTGTGCTGAGGCAGTGTACCCCAATTTGGGGAGGGGGGCACTCACCTTTTTGACGCCGCCCAGGGTGAGGTCTCGGGAGCGGATGGAGGGCAGGCGGCCCGGGCTGACGGTGGGGGCTGCGGGGCGTCTGCCCAGGACCCCCCGAGCCCCCGGGAGCCCCGGCCGGAGGCTGCCCGGGGAGCCGGAGCTGCCAGAGCCCCCCTCGGCCATCCTGCGGGSAGGGGATGGGCTCAGGGACACCCGGAGTGGGGTTCTGTACCCCCAAACATGGCTCAGTCCTACACACACCCCAATAACGACCCCTCCAACCCCCCAAATTTGGTGTAGCCCCCTCCCCAAGGAGGTCGTTTTCTCTCTGCACCTCCCAGGATCCACTCGCCCCACCCCATACACCCCCAAACAGGGCTCAGTCCTACACCCACCCCAATAACGACCCCACAATCCCCCCCAAATTAAGTCCAAATTGTAGCCCCCTCCCCAAGGGGGTCGTTTCCCCCCTGTACCACCCAGGATCCGCTCTCTCCTTCCCCAGCGTTCTTTTGCGACCCCCAAACAGGGCTCAGTTCCACACACACCCCAATAACGACCCCTCCAACCCCCCAAATTTGGTGTAGCCCCCTCCCCAGGGGGGTCGTTTTACCTCTGCACCCCCCAAGAACCACTCACTCTCCCCTTCCCCAGCGTCCTTTTTGCGACCCCCAAACAGGGCTCAGTCCCACACCCACCCCAATAACGACCCCACAATCCCCCCCAAATTAAATCCAAATTGTAGCCCCCTCCCAAGGGGGTAGTTTTCTCTCTGCACCCCCAAGATCCACTCGCCGTCCCTCCCCAGCGTTCCTTTGCCCCCCATACACCCCCAAACAGGGCCCATTTGTCGCCCCCTCCCCGAGGGTCTCAGACCCCACAATCCCCCTGCTCCCCCCTCCCCA